GGAAATACCAGGGGCAAATAGAGCTCCTTTGTCCTCAACACAWCTTCCTGACCTGGCAGGTTCTCCTGGAGTCACGGAGCTGCCCCCGAGGTCAACCTAGGCGACCAACACAGTCACTCATATGTTAAGAGCTCACAAAAGATGCCCATGTCCATATTGCTCTTCTTCCATTGCTCCTCTCCATATTGCAGCTGTGGATTTTTTGCATACCTGTCTAATGAAGTTGGGAAAAGGCATGGCTGCCTCTGGGGTAGGGCTCACCACCATGCAACTTCAACACACTCTGGATACCTAAATAATATCACAGCAGCTTTTCACTACTATATCCAAACCATTATGCTAAAAAAATCACCAGCAAAAATCAGTGTATGTATGGATGACATTTTTTCCATTTTTGTTGTGTTTTAGAGAAATTGAAACCAGTCCACTCCTTGAAACCAGAACAAACTAAACCCACCAAAACTATAAAAATAACTCCAGCAAGAGCATTTCAGTGCAACCCATCCACATTTTCACACATCCAGCCATACCCTGCTGCTCCTGGGTCAAGGAGTGTCACCTCCTGATAAGAGGAATGGATCCAAACGCCCAATCTGAATGTGACAAGTGATGCTTGGGGACCACAAGATAAGCTCAGGCTCTGCTGGAAACCCGTTGAGACCAGTGCCATGGGAAACGTCACTGTCTGATCTCTACCTGGTTTGCCTCCCTTACAAAAAGGGCTGCTAAAAGCGGAACAATCCATACTGCTGGATGCAATTTCGCTCACTGCTCAATAGTTCAGTGCCTTTGGAGCTTATCATCCCTGTTGTTTACTCTCTTCCTGACCTTGGAAGAAGAGGTAGAGATAGCAGAAGCAGAATACTAAATGGATTAATGCTTTTATTATCCTACTATTGGGAAGTTGATTAAAAGCACATATCCTTTCCCAGGCTACCCTGGGCATTAATGTCCTCATCTCTCTTCTTACAGCGGGTCACAATGGGGATATTAAACGTAGCCTTAAGTACTGAATACTCTTCACTTCCAGCACTGCTGTTCTTCTCATAGCAAGTGTCTTAAGAAGTTTTCTCCCTCTCTTTAGTCTAGAAGCCTTTTTTGACTCTTACAAAACAGTAATAATATGGTTTTTCATAAGAAAATGTCAGTGGCCTTCTAAAGAGCCAAAGAATGGCACTGGGTGCTGGATGGTTGCACAAGTAGCTGCTACTCCCACCAAAGAACTTGGTATTTTCTCTCCTGCCATCCACCTCTGTTCTTAATACATCCTTGCTTTTCTGAAAGGATTCCCCACAAGGTCACCCAGCCCCAGCAGTCAGCATCATCACTCAAATGAAACAGGGCAAGAGTCAACTGCTTTTCTGCTATTATTGGCCCCAAAAAAAGTGAACGTGCCCTTTTTGCTGGCAGGCATTACACAACAGCGATAACTCACCTCCCTGCAGCCCGGAACGCTCATGGGTGTCAGGAAAAGCCAAAAATAACCCAGGAAAAGCCGCCTGGAAAGTAGGCTAAGAACTGAGCAGAAACACATCCCGAGACATTKCATACATACCCAGCTTTAGCTTAAAAATACCTTCCTGCAACCTATAATGCAAGGCTGCAGACCATCATCATCATCCCGGGGCGTTACAATTACCGACCAGCCAACCCAGGAGCTGCTCAAACGAGCAGAGGGAAGGAGACATCAGTAATGATAATCACATCTCTGTCCACATAGGCTACGTTCAAGTTGCAAAGCTTAAAAATAATGGGTAGGTGGCCCCTCAAAAGCCAGGATTACGGATTATTTCTTGAACTAATGCTGAGACTTTGGGACAGTCCATTAGCCAAGTGTACATATAGGTCAGGATTCACTTGGAGATGAATGATTAACTCTTCCCAAGGCACACAGAGCAAGCCTCGGATCAAGATCTGCAGAATAAATGTAATAATTCTGATTTTGGTCCCACTTACTCTGAGCACAATGGACTTGCAGCAAGAGAAAAAYGGAGAGAACAAGATTAGGAGTTAGCCCAGTAAATATAAAGTCTTATCAAGTGCAACAAATTGGAAGGTCAGATTTGGAAGGTCAGATTTTCATCCGAGTTTTTGCAAATGTCTGAGTAATGTTTTGAGAAGTGAAGATAAGGAGTTCCAAAGAAATCTAGTCTTATGATTTTAATCAAAAATGTCTTTTAAAAGAAAATTTAACATGCAATTTAATGTACCAACTGTCCCAAACAAAAGGTTGGTAATCTTTTACATTTGTAGAACTGGCCAAAATACAAATGAATATACTGGATGTATTAAAGCCTCTAAAACCAAGTGAAAAAAAGAACTACAGGAACTGGATTTAGATTAAAATGTCTGTCTTTTCTTTTGGCCAGTCCCCAGATATTGGCTTCTTGCAACATTTATCAAAATACCTATAGGAAACAGGTAGTTCAAAGCAGCAGCAAGAAGCTTCAATGAAAAATATCACGGAAAAAAAAAAAAGAAAAAGACCAAGAGTTTTTATGCACAGCATAAAAAGCAATAGTCTTTGCAATAGAGAAGACAGACGCCCTCTTCTCAAAGAACTAAAGCGCTGTAAATGCTGGGCACACCAGTAATCCCAGCCTCCCCAGCCACCTAGTCGACGAGGCTCTTCTACAGGAACTAAAAGCAAAAGATACAGATCCAAAATYTCCCATTCTCAACAGCCTACCTGTTTGGGCCATTAATTGCCCTTGGSTTTAATTGGCAGCTCTCCGATTGACCAGAAGTTTTCAGCCTACTTGCACTGGTGGAGGAGGGCTGGATGCACTTCTCATAGGACGCTGGAAAGCCAGTTCCTCAGGTTTCCAAACTTGCGATGCTGCAGAAAGTTGCCTTGGCCAAACCCCATATTGTGATTCCTTCAAGCACAATTCCTTAAAAAAGTCCAAGCCTTATTTGTTTTTTTTGCTTGCTTGCTTTTTCTCTCTCTTTTCCAGGACCAAACAAAGGTATGTTTGAGAGATATGTTTAAATTAAATATTTTTTTCCAATAATTACGAAGCCACATCTGTATATGAATCCATAAAYAGTTTTTCATAGGATATCGTGTTCATGAAGTCATCAGACAAATCGCTCCCTGGCACTGGATGCAGCAAAGCAGCAGCTGTTCCYAAGAGCAATTGTACATCAAGTGAGAAAGCTGGCAAGCTTCAAGTTAACATTTAACTACCTGATCAAGTTATCTCTTTCAGTGGCAAGAAACATAAGAGTCAGCAGGAATTCTGCTACTCGAAGTACACAGAGGGGAAAAAAAAGGAACCTCTGCTTTTTAATTCATTATTTAATACACTTGATGCAACCCTTATGTTCGCAATCTGTAGCTACACTGAGAAACATAAGTGATGCAAAACCTCCAAGGACCTTAATCGTTGCAGAACACGCGAGAGGAACTTGTTGACAACAGCAGCAGCTATTTAAATCTGCTGGCACTTTCAGAGACAAACAGCTCTGTATGAAATCCAGCTGGAGGTGGCTTCCCTTGCTCCTGGWCTCTAAGCACTGATGTCAGGACATCCTACGTCCAGCAGGAAATCAATGGGGCAGCTGATAACTCACGTGGTGGATCCCTCCTGCCCAACCATCCCTGGAGGAAGAGAAGTATCCTCATCTGCGATGATGGATCCAAGTGCCAGCAAGGACAACCTGACCCTACCACGCAGCATCCTCCACCTGGGGCAGGCAAGTATCACCAGGGATGGGAAGCTAGAAGGTAGGCAAGGAAAACAGAGGCTCCTTGGATGTTTGCCCAGAGTCAGGGGGAGGAAASTGGAAAAAAATCTTGAATACAAGGTGTTTTAAAACTAGGGTAAGGCACTATTTTTTATGGCAAGCTGCCATGTTATCTTCAGGGGCAACCAATGCGTGGGAGAAACGCAGTATTCAAGGTAGGCTCCACATCAGATGGCCATGTTTCCCCACTCAGCACAAGCAGAGTGGGCCAGTAGGTTAGGAGGGTTTTTCACACCTAAGAGAAACATTCAGCAGTCCTAGTGCAGCCATCCAAAGGATTAAATACTCCTTCATAAAAAACCTGCGTGGTTCTCAACAACCTTTACTCTCAAAGCATTTTTACTGCTAGACAGCAACTCCGTAACCACAGCCGAACAGCTGGAATTCTCATGGAAATACCCTCCCCAAAGTCACAAACCTTCATATCTGCAAGCAATAATGGGTCAGGGCTGTCAAGCCTTTTCTTATGTCTCCCCTAGAAAGTTTCTTTCTCATGAATTCTTACATAAATTCTCAAAAATAATCCCCACCCCTTCCAGGAGAGGAGAAACAAATGTTTTCTGTGAGCACAACTTGCATAACAGCCTCTGCATCCCCACTAAAGCTSCTCCTAGGATAAACAGCTCTTTACATAAGTTTGTTCTCCGGGTGACCAGTTACTTCTGCTGCCAACGCCAGCAAAACCAGCACACGCTGGTTGAAACACATCCCATCTCTACCTGAATCAGAGGAGCTCATGCTGAAGCGCTCCCAGCAGGACTCCAGCCTAGTGCTCCAAACAAACCCAAAGCTGAAACCAAAACCTCTGTAAGGGCCTCTGTGCTCCAGACAGAGAGCCTGAAGCTACTTGGCTCAGAGGATTAAATCTCTCTGGTTCACCTTGGACATGAATGAGACCAAGAACAGCAAATGTCTTTGCATGCGAGCACAGACCTGCTTTGGCTGATGTGATGCTTCGCAGCTAAGGTATCCACCAACCCAAAACAACAGGCATAGCAGGACTAGGAGCTAGTATGAAGTTGCAGAGCACCCAAGGCATCACTGCTGATAAACCTGCAAAACAGTCTCAGGATCACCCCACCTGGGAGCATTGGYTCTTCTCAAGCAGCTCAGTGCAAGCCCATGGCCACCACCAGCCTTGAGGACCATCTTCTGCCCCTCGCCTTCTCCTCAGGCCTGCGGAGCATGGCAGCTCTTCCCAGCCAGGCACCCAGCGACACCTTCCCCAGCACTTAGTGTCCAACACTTACTTTCTTCTCGAAAGGCGACGCGTGAGCTCAGGGAAGGAGGCTCTTTGCAGCGGGCACATCAGGCGCTGGTCACAGGGCGCTGCTCGCGGGCAGCGCAGYGCGGGGACACACGCGGGCACCGGGACGAGGATCGCACTCGCCCCGCACCTAGGTGCTGCTTCCCGGCAGCCTTCGCTAGCTCCGAGGGGACCAGGGCAGCATGTTGGAAACGAGCAGAGTTGGGTCCCGCTGGTTGTAGCTCCAAAGAAGATGCAGGACACGATCACGAGCGGGGGACGTCCGYCCAGGTGATGCATGGAGGTCTTGCTACCATTGCTGCAGCGGGACGCGCTCCGAGAGCACAGAGCTGAGCAGGTCTCCGTCGGGAATCACAGCGACACCAGGGAGCCCTGGGGAGGAACAGAGCACGAGAGAGGAATGAAGATCTCRGCTCTTCCTCTAAATTTAAACCTATGTGTGGTTTCTGCACAGCAGCATTCAAAACTCCCATTAAATCCATCCAGTTGGTTAAAATCCTGTTAATTGCGATGACCTGATCAGCTGCGGTTTACTCCGCRTTTGCCACGGTTTTAGTGTTTTGTGATCAGACATAATCATGGGTAATTTAAACCCTGTAACTCCAATCAGAACCTGCCAGCAATTAACAGCCTCCGATTTAAGCAGCTTTTGGTGCAGAAACACCCAGGACAGCTCACACCATGCTGCACCCCGCTTCATTTTTTCTTTCAGCCTGTTTTACAACTAAATTTCTTCTCCCCGTTGAAGCGGCGCAAGCAATTGCTTGCAATTGCAGCCAACAAGCTCTAGGMAATGAGCTCTAGCCTCTTGCCCACGATTTGGAGAGATCAGACCTGCAAACATTAGCTCCAGTAATTAAAGCAGCAAACGTGACAAATGAGCAGAGGGGACTTGCAGCATTATTGCTGGGCTGCAGGGAGTTTCTGGGGTTTCTGCAAGCRCCAGCGGAGCAGCAAAGCCAGGATAATTTGACATATGATTTTGCAGCACCCCCAGGCCAGGGAAGTAAATAATGCGAGTCACCCGTGAATGGAAACAAATGGAAAAGGTCATAAAAAGAAGTCCTACTAAACCAGATGAAATTAAACAAATACATTAATTAATTAAAGGCTCTATGAACAGTAGAGTTGAACTTTACTGTAATGGAATCAGATGTCTTTGGAAATGCCCTTTGGTAATCCAGCTGAAGCTCAGCGAGTTTCCATGTTGTTTATGTGGTTGTGTTGACAGCATGACCAGATACCAGTCCAAAACACCAGAAAGAAGGGAAAAGCAGGATGGGGGATTCAAGAAACAAAACCAGCTTTCATCACGTTCACCTCACTCATTAATATCAAAGTATTTCTCCCAAGACAGCAAATAGTTCCCCCTTGCAAGCAAGATTTGCAATAGCTGCAGCTTCTCAAGTCTCTTCCCCAAGCCTCAATGCCTGAAGGCCAGGGTGGCTAGAACAAGGGCTCAGCCCAGCAAGGCAGCCATGCCTAGGGAAGGGCTTGGAGTCCTGGAGAGCTCTTCCTATAGACGTTGGTGCAAAGTGGCCCCCCAAAAAACCCACACAGACAAAACTCAACACTTTGAGTCAAGTAGACCTCAGAGCCTTCAAGTGGCACCAAGCCGGGATTATTCTGCTGCAGAAATGAAGAAGCTGTGGAGATCTGTACCCATAAGTTCACACTGGATATCTAACATCACAGAATCATCACAGAGTCACAGAGTGGTTGAAGATGGAAGGGACCTCTAGAGATCATCCAGTCCAACTTCCCCGCACACACAGGGTTGCCTAGGGTACAGGGCACCCAGTCGCATCCAGGTGGGTTTGGAAGATCTCCAGAGCAGGAGACTCCACAGCCTCCCCGGGCAGCCTGTGCCAGGGCTCGTGCACCCTCACAGTGAAGAAGTTCTTCCTCATAGATGGAACTGCCTGGGTTTCAACAAGTACCATTACCCCTTGTCCTGTCACTGGCCACCACTGAGAATGGTAGTGTAGTGGCCACTACATTCACCCTTCAGGTAGTTGTACCTATTGATCAGATCTCCTCTCAGTCTTCGCTTCTCTAGGCTAAACAGGCCCAGCTCACTTAGTCTTCCCTCACAATGCATGCCCTAACCCAGAAGTGATAAATGCTGCAAAAGGAGGAGGAGCAGGAGGCAAAGCAATAAAACCAGCGCTGTCAGCAAATGAGCAGAAGTCAGAGCAACCAGTGCCTGTGCCACCAGGCCAGCCTCGGAACAGGTATCAGCGCTAAAAAGAAAAGTGTGGATATTGACATTTGCAATCATGGAAAACAGGAACGTTGTTAAAACGTACTGGTGTCAGCGATACCACAAACCCACATGGACATTGATATATCAAGTACCAAGCCACGAGCACTCTTGGAAGGAGCAAGAAAGCCAAGCATGAGGACAATGTGCTCTTGCACAAGGAATGCCTTTGTGGAGCAGCCATGGCATGTTCTTGGCTCCGTAACCCTGGCTGTTCCCAAGAAGTACCAGAAAAATCTCTTTCTGTGGAAAGGCCTTTTCTCATCAAAACAACTTTGAGCTGGCAATTCACCTCCATGAAGCAACTTGAAAACACAGGGCAACTTTTCATGCCTACAGGCCATAAATCCCACTGAAGACTCTTCCAGTTGGAGAGTCAAGCCATCCACATGGGTGGCCATCTCAACCTGTGATAGCTACCGAAATTATGAACAGAATTCCTATCAATAGAGAACAGATTTCAACAGCTGCTTTGGGGCTAAGACGCATAACAAGCGCCAGCCTTAACGATCAGCACTACACAGCTCTTCCCCTTGCATCTCCTAGGAAATGACCTTCCAGAAATGGAATTTCCAACATGACTCGTCTCAGTGGTGACATGCAGTGAGGAGAAACAGAGAATTATAGCAATTAGAATAGATCAAATTTATGGACTAACAAGACAGATGATKCAGTGAAGCAAGGAATGAAATGTAATGAGGCCAAGAAAAAATTAAACATATGCTCCATTCAAGTCTAAGTAACAATGCACAAGCAGTCTTAGTGGCTTCATAATGCACAACAAAATCCAGTGGATCTAGAAGGGAAGTTATGAGTTACTGTTGGAACACATACATGGAACACACAGGCTCAATCTTGCAAGTTCTTCTAGTGACACTGAAAAATGGGCAATACTACAAAACAGATATTTAGAAAGCTCAAACCAAATCCAGAAAACTCATAGAGATCTCATATTATCTGTCCAACATTAACTTCTTTGAAAAATGCATTCTGCAGTTTCCTGAAATTGTTCCAAATCCTGTAGGATCTCATAACCCTTAAGTGGGTAARGAATTGACGCAGTAGAGGAAGGATCTCCCAAAAAAATGAGGAGATGCACCAGGAACAAAACGCTCCATGGAGTAAACAGCAACAACAAGCCAACAGTTTGAAATCTTTSCCCCCAAAAATACTTGGGCATCTACTCTCTTGGTAGAACCATGCCAGTGGGAATGTCGAGGAGGCTGGAGCAATGTCCATCCCTGGACATTTTCAAAGCTCATCTGGACAAGGATCTGAGCAGGGGGTGCGCCTAGATCCCATCCAACCTGATTTTTTTTTTTTTCCCTGGAATTCTTTAAAACAGCATCCAGACTGATTGGTCCTTTTAAGGATGATATTGGGAAAAAGGATGAGTCAAAGGCACCAGGCTGTTGAAATGATGCTGGCCGTAGATTTGGAGAGACTCTTGTGATACATTTTAAAGCTAAGACTTTCTTTACAGAGAGGWCCATCCTTAAGACCAGAAAAATACTATTATGTGGGATTATACATTTTGTGCTCTGAGAAGATTTGTATACATGCCTCATTTTACATGTGCTTAACTCAGCTGAAAATCAACGGGAATAATCATATGCTTCAAATTTAACATGTCAAGCATTATAAAAATCCAATCAGTTGGCAGGGTGGTAGTTTTTCATCTCCCGAAAAGCAGCAGCTTTTTAACCACATTCCTGACTCGGTTCCTAATGTGGCTCMGAAGTAAAATGATCACCGAGTTGATAGTCATTTCCCCATTCAAAATCTAATCTATTTTGAAAGCTTAAACCGATTCTATAAATATTTAAATATAATCTGCAGCTGCTTAGTGATTTTAATTAAGAAGGCGGCGTGGTAGCAGGATAACGTCAGGGCATGAGACTGCTTTGGGGCAGAAGCTGGAATTTGAGAACAATATATATAAATGTGTGGGTTTTTTTGCTTTTTTTTTTTTTTTTGCTTTTTTTTAATAATAGGTGTATTGGCTACAAAAATAGCCAATGTTCAAGCATGCTCTGCCTTTAAATCAGTCAACACATGAAGAAAGTAACATTCCTGTTCAAGCAAATCAAGCCAAGTGCAGCTGATGTTGTGTCTCTTTTATGGCATTATCCCTCATATGATCTAAATTCWTGAAAGTTTTCAACATGAATTGCACACAAATATAAAAAAAAAAAAAGAAAAACACAATAAAATAGTGCTGCTGAAATCATTTACCTTTTTCACCCATTTTCAACTAAATGAATGGGTCAGGTCCACAGCACCCACTCTGCAGTCTGGGTCACCCATGCGCGGGTTTGGGACAGGCACAGCCCAACACACTGACCAGTCCCATGGTGGTCTCTGCACCCAACACTCACCCAAAGTGGGAACAACCTCTCCAAAGGCCTAAATGTTGGAGACAGCTCTGGTTGTCCTTCTCCTGGTAACAGAGAATATATAGAAAGCTGCATGTCCTGCATCCCTGGGTATCCAAAACAGGCCACCCAAACGAAGGAGGGAGGAGAACAGCAGAGCTGCAGGGGCATCACRGCCACTACGGAGCAACAGGGCCACCAAGGAGGGACAGTCAGACACCTTTAGAGCCATCACGGGGCATCAGAGCATCTAAAGCTTGTTGAATTCTAGATCTGAAGCTGCCAACGTTGACACTTCGACATGTTCATGACTCTTGCAGCCCTCATACTCCAAAACCAGGCAGCCGAGCGGGAATTTCAGTTCATTATATCAGGAGCAGGGGTTAATCCCCACGGTCAAGAACCAACAGCTGAACACAGCTTGAACCTGAAACAGGCACAATTTTCAGAAGTAATTAAAAGAACCATTAAAAACCCCTTYAATGTAAAGATGCTGACTGAGGATTTTTGAATGTGTGCCAGGACTGCACTGCTCAGAAGAGATAGAAACTCCTTTAAAAGCGTTTCATAACTCTTCTGGAAATCATTTTTATTCCAGACCACTTGATCAAGCCACCCCTGAGCACTGCTCACCATCGTGCACCCAATGGCACTTCGTGTTAGGCCAAAGCTGGGTCTACCCAGCACCTGGTGGGAGTCCCAAACAAGCAGCAATTACTATACAGAGGAATTAA